TCTCCGATGGCAATAGTCTTGTCAAACATCAGAATGATCAGTGACCTTCCCTGAGGAATACTGCCTACAAAGATTCTGGTGCTCTTCTCTCACCTCCCAGCATTGTCTTCCTAAGTGGCTTAAATGGTGACTGTGCAGACAATTGCAAACTTGTATAATTTTAAAATAAATCTTCAATTCCTGTACTTCAGAAGAAGATTGTGATCAAGTCCTCTGGCTAGCAAATACTACCCCTACAGGCATGGCAAAGCCCAACTCCAGCAACATCTGTTGTCTCAGAGATACATTACCATGCCCTTCCCTGAATTAACCTCCTGCCAGCAGAGGTCCAGTAACCGCCGGTCTAAGGAGGCAGCAGCAGACCCGCTGTTTTTCCTCAGGAAGAGCTATTGGAATTGTGTGCCTCTTGGAAGCAGCAATATTTGCAATGTGATGAACCATGATTTAAACTCCATAATTTTTTAAAGCTATGCATAATTCTTCATAAAATCACAATAAACGATTTTCGCTAAAGAGGGTAATTTTGCTTCTTAATGCATTGATGACTTCAACTGGTTCCTGATTTGATCAGAATTTGTAATTGCTCTGTTTAAAGATCATCAGACAGTGGACCTTGATCTTTATTATTGTGAAAGGCTCTAACTTTTTATTTTGCAATAACTAAGCCTCATGTACTGCTTTGATTTTAACAAAAATTTATCTCAAGGTTAAGTGGCTGGGCTGATCTAATGGAGAAAGATGAAAAGCAAGAACAGCACACATGAGGCTTACTTAATCACAATACAGGCCAGGCTTACTGGCTCTCCAAGGTGATGAGTCCTTTGTCTTAACTGCACAACAGGTACAGCCTTTCTGAGCTGGATATCTAGAGATTTACTTTCTGTCCTAGAAAATACTATACACAATTAATTTACCACCAAGCAGATTTCTGGAGTCTTAGTTGGATCTCCTCAATTTAATAGGCTCAACAGTTTTAGCAAGCATAGTGAGATATGTAGACATGCATCTAAACTAGCTGGCACATGCATATATACAGTCACATACATTTATTCCTCCGTCTTTGGAATGCTTCCCTTGTCTCTCTGCTGACCATTAGCACTGAATAGTTTTGACAAGGCAAAGAAACATTTCATTTATAAGTAACAAAGTAGGTTGAGACATCCTTCCCAAAAAACATGCTAGGCCAGAGAATTGTTGTGAGGAGTCTTCAACTGTGAGAAAAACAGGAACAGAAGGAGAAGTTCACATCCAATTTGCATGACAGCCATAGGAGGTAACAGCAGTGATTTGTTTTCAGTGTTGTAAGCAAAGGGCTTACTTGATATCTGAAAATATTATCCCATTTATGGTCCTTTGTGGTTTTTAACTTGTGAAAACTGTATTCAAGTGTGCTTCTTTTACTATACCTCAATCTAATGGCAAGAGAAGAATGTGCTGTTGCTGTCGTTAAGAGTTGCTATAATTTCCTCAGGATAAGAAAATCATATAACAAGACTACACACCTGAAGGATTTTGGCGATCCTAAACTTTTAGACCTCATGGTGTGGTTTGATGTAGTGTCTCAAATTTCAAATCTTCAGAATCAGAGGGATGCTTTCTGAAATTGTCAGATCAATTGTATCTTAAATCTCTCAGATCTTGATAGCCCTTGCTTATGAACATGTCTGCACAGAAAGTGAACCAGTTTCATAAAATCTTGCTCAGTTAAGAAGGTATTCTGTACTAGGAGTATTAGCAAAATCAGAGTGGGAACGATTATATTCAGATATGGTAAGGAGCAGCAGGTCAGGCTATGGAAGGGAGAACAAAAAACTTCATGACATAAAGAAGCAAAAGAAAACAGAGAGGTTGAATGTAGTCAGAAATTACTTGAGAGAAATGAAAAGTCAAAGATGCTGCTGCCTGTGTCCATTAGGGTAGGACAGGAAGACTGTAACAACTGAGTCTGCAGGTGATGAGAGGCTGATGGTTAAAAAGCTGCAATAATATTCCAGCATCAGCGGTTCTCCAGATGAAACAACTTTCAGCGGCTTCTGCTTTTATGGAGTTACTTATAAATGTTAGTTGTTGTCACTAGAAAAAAAAGAACAAAATACCTCTGCTTTACAATTAGGTCTTTGGAACAATCAAAGCCTCATTTTTATTCAGCCAATGAAATACTACAAATTTTCTACAAAAGTAGTCTATAAAACTCCTTTTTCCCCCTGGCCTTTTGCTTTGTGTTTTTATTTTAAGGTTTTCTGTTCATTTTTTGTGTGTGTCATGTTTGAGACTCGTATTAGGATCAAGCTATGTTTTTTAAAGCTTCTTCTAGAATCTCTGAACTATTCTAAGGCTGAGTTTTGCCTCTAAGTATCCCTCCAGTGGAAGATAGAGAACTACAATCTAGTAATGAGACATAATATGGGCTCTGGTCAAGCCTGTGAAGCCTTTCATATCCTGGGACTACCAAGTGCATGCTGTGTGTATCACCTGCAACCAGAACAAAGTGGCCAGCATTTTCATGTGAGTCTGACAGAACTGTCATGTAATATTATTATAAGTCTGTGCTTCTCTGTTGCTTCCTTTCTTTGTGTTCACAACTCTATGTTGTGTAATGTTTGAAACAGCTCTAAACTTAGCTCTGTGCAATCCATACATTTTACTAGTTCTATGATGAGCCTGATACTTTTTGAGCCTTATAAAAATATGCATGGACATAAACAAACATAAATCCAACTGGTCAATCTGCTATGCAGACCATTGTGATATTGTCTAGAAAAAAATTGTGCCAGATGAAATGGAAAAGAATCTGCCTTTTGACCAGGAGGATCTCTTTGAAGAGCAGCGTTCAGTAGCCACAAACACAGTTACAGCATTAATCTGGGGACAGAGTGGCTAGAGAGCACCCAGACAGAGAGGGACCTGGGAGTTTGGATTGACAAGAAGCTGAACATGAGCCAGCAGTGTGCCCAGGTGGCTAAGAAGGCCAATGGCATCCTGGCCTGGATCAGGAACAATGCGGCCAGCAGGTCCAAGGAAGTGATTCTTCCCCTGGACTCAGCGCTGGTGAGGCCACACCTTGAGTGCTGTGCCCAGTTCTGGGCCCCTCAGCTCAGGAAGGACATTGAGGTCCTGGAGCAGGTGCAGAGAAGGGCAACTAGACTGGTGAAGGGAGTCAAACACAAGTCCTAGGAGGAGAGGCTGAGGGAGCTGGGGCTGTTCAGCCTGGAGAAGAGGAGGCTCAGGGGAGACCTCATCACCCTCTACAACTCCCTGACAGGAGGCTGTAGCCAGGTGGGGGTTGGTCTCTTTTCCCAGGCAAAGATCAGCAAGACAAGAGGGTGTGGTCTCAAGTTGTGCCAGGGGAGGTTTAGGTTAGATATTAGAAAGAACTTCTTTACAGAGAGGGTCAGACATTGGAATGGGCTGCCCAGGGAAGTGGTGGATTCTCCGTCCTTGGAGATATTTAAAAAGAGACTGGATGTGGCACTTAGTGCCATGGTCTGGGAACTGCAGCGGTAATGGATCAAGGGTTGGACTTGATGATCTCGAAAGTTCCTTCCAACCCAGCTGATTCTATGATTCTATGAATGCCTAAGCTACACAAAAGCTTTTTGCTACTTGGCAGAGTTTCTCTGAGAGGCCTAAAATGTGACTCCAGTCTGAAAATGAGTGAAGGTAGGCTTACAACAATAAACTACACATCTCCACTGACCCACGCATCCAACCTATTAGAAGATTACTATCAGTTTTTCTACTCTGAAAGAAAAGGATGAGAAAATTATCATACAGGAAAGCTGGCTGGCTGTTGTCCTTTTCTGCCTCATCCTTTTGAGTAATGCCTCACAATTCTGTGAATTCCTTGACAAATTCCAATTGTCCGCTGCAGTGTCGTGGTCGGCGGGGTCCCCACTGGGTCCAGCGGGCGCGGGCCGGGGCGAC